AGTAGTCATCGTCGTCAGCATGCCATACCCAAACTGAAGACCCAGAAGAAGGGCGGAAATAGTCATTTCTAACTCCCCTTGGTCATCGACAACACTTCCAGACTACTGATCGTCCGATCTTATGCGAGGACTGGCCGTGAGGACTCTGACCTGCAATTTCCACTCATATTCCGTGTCAAATAGATCAAATAAGACAGCACCTCGCATCTTAAATTAAAAACCCTGCAGACACTGCAACCGCTTCCAAGGAATGGGGGTGTAAATCGAATGCTTAACACTGAAATAAACCGTGGTTGAGGATAGAATTCTTCTACACATCGGGGGCTACTTACTGAGGCTCTGGATTGCAGCTGCACCAGTTTCTGTACAGAGTTCTCAATTTCACTTGTGAAACCCCTCAACTCCTGTGTGCCGGCCGCGTCGCCCACATCCGTGGCGATTTCTTCTGCTTTGGCGATACTCTCAGCTAGTTGCGAACGGGTTGAGAGTAGGTTGGTATCCGTCGTCTGGTTGGTCGCAGCAGCGGCCGGAGCTGTGACCCGTGAGGCCGGACGGGCTGGTAGAGCCGGTTTCCATGCGGAGGCTTTAGGCGAAGAAGTAGGTGAATCTAGGTGACGAAAACAAGTAGAAGATTGTTGTAAACAAACAGGGTAGGGTCTCTGGCATGTTTACTTCCAACACATCGACTCAGATCTGTGGCGGCGGCACAAAGGGGCCCATAGCTTACCGACGGATTGGCTGCCACCGGGCATCTGCTTCGCACCCTCCACAATCTCGTAGACGGTCTCCCGGAGGCGACGCATTGCAAGAGTCACCTGCATTGAAGGGGACTCCCCAGTTGCCGAGTCATCGAGTGCCTGTGGGTGGGGTATAGAAGTAGAAGAAAGTGACAGCTAAAAACTTTGTGGACGACTGAAATTTTATAAAAATGAAAGACAGCACGTAGTTGGCACTCACCCTAATCATGTGCTCAAGCATGACGGCTAGCTCGCTCAATGTGGCCTTGCCTCCTTCGATTGTCCTCGTGCAGGCCTCAACACACCTGTCACGATCAACTTTGTAGTCCTCCTCATCCGCGCGGCTGTAGGCACCACCCGCTGCCGAACTAGTCGACTGCTTCCGCTGGTTTGTAGTTTTCACTATAGCAGCCCGCGTACCGCAACGAATACGCCTGACCAGTTCTGTCGCTGACTGGTGAATAA